CTGCGATATTACCACACTGGCATCCAAAGGGACTATACCAGCTTGCATTCCCACCAGCAATGCAAAAGTGTTCCCTTTACCCCCAACCTCTCCAGTATAAGTTGTCATCAGTGTTTTTGATATTGGCCATTCTTACAGGTTACTGACATTGTGTTGCTCTTCGTGGTGTTGCATGTGTTCTTATCTTTTTTACTCATCTTTTCCTCTAATAAGTGTGTTTGGGGCTGTCAGTAATTCTGCTGATTAATATTCTAGGTGTCAGTGAGCTCAAGGCTCAGATGGTTGTTCCTCGTGGTACAGTTAGTGCCACAGTTCTAGTTACCCTTTTGGTCACTCTGTTCCTGGAGTTCACTCAGTGCTTCCAGTCTTTGCTCCACTCCCTTGGAGTTTGCTGTCTCAGGCCTGCTCTAGCCTAGGTTGTCAGCTTTGACCTGTTTCTGTAAATCCTGGTCTGGATCCTCTCCTATAGAGGTCCCTGGCTTGGAGTTGGTTCTGCAAGGGTCTCTGGCTCTGGCCTACTCCCGCAGAGTTCCCAGGCTTGGATGCACCCAGTCCCACAGAGGATCTGGCTCAGACTTACTCCTTCAGAGGTCCCAGACTCATGCTCGAACCCAGACCTGCAAAGGTTTCTGGTTCCTGACTATTTCCTTTGATGTACCAGACCAACGCCTGGGTCCACAGAGGTCCTGGCTCAAGCCTACTTCCTCTGAGGTCCCAGACTCATGCCTGGACAAGCAGAGATCTCTGGTTCCTACCTACTCCCTCGGAGGTCCCAGATTCAAGCCCAGACCCACAGAGGTCCTGGATCAGACCTAGTTCCTGGGAGGTTCTAGACTCATGGCCAGACCCACAGGGGTCCTAGCTTAGGTCTACTCCCTTGAAGGTCCCAGATTCATGTCTGGACCTTCAGCAGTCTCTGGCTCTGGCTCACTTACTCAGTGATTGCTCCCTGTACCTGTTCCTGTTCCTGTGGAGTTCCCTGTCTCAGGTCTGCCCTGGCCGAGGTTGCTGGCAGACCAGGTTCACCAATGTCTCTGAAGTGGATCCTCTTCTGCTCCTGTGGAGCTTGCTTCCTCAAGCCCACTCTGGCTTAGGTAGCTGTGTAACATGCGGTCCTGCTTGTTGGGGTTTATGTCCTTCCCAGTTCCCCACAGCCGGCAAACCCCAAAGAAAATCACACAGAGATCTCCATAAGTTATAAACTGATTGGCCCCTTAGCTCAGGCTACTTATTAGCTCTTGTAGCTTATATTAACCCATTATTCTTATCTATATTAGCCACATGGTTCGTTACCTTTCTCAGTGGGGCAGCACACAATCTTGCTTCTTTGATGATCTGGGCAGAACTGTGAAGGGAGCTTCCTGCTTCCCAGAATACTCCTGTTCTCATTGCCCTGCCTCTACTTCCTGTCTGGTTGACCTACCTATACTTCCTGCCTGGCCAATCAGCATTTATTTAAAACATAATTGACAGAATACAGACAATTCTTCCGCACCACTGCCCCTTCTTTTTTTTTAAAAAAGGAAAATATCCATAGTCCATTTGTTGGGAATGTGGATGTAGTATTCCAGGCTCTTTCCGGCTGGTTTAGGGCACTGATAATCTTATGGGGACCTAAAGAAAATTTAGAATCATGACTGGAGTATCCTGTGAGGCTTGATCATCTCAGGCAGCATCTTGAATCTGTTCTGGATATAGAACTCAGATATCTGGGCCACCTGTTCCTGCTGGAGATTTTTCAGGTGGTCTTCCTTGACCAAATCTGATTTTTCTTAACTAAGAATGAATTCGCAGTCTCTCATTTCCTGTGGAAACAAAAGAAAATCCTCTTCTCCAAAGTAACATACCTTTTGACTTCAATTTTGAAGCCAAGGTATTTTCAAAATACCTATCTTGGATTAATTTAGCAGCATTTATAAGCAAATATCTTTTAGCAACTGTTGCTCCTTCCTCAGCATTCAAACAATTCAAAGAGATCATAATAGCATACAGTATCAAGATTCTCTGTGTATTTTCCATCTTTATGCAGCTTTATTTTAAACTCTATTTCTTTTATTTTTACTTTTAACTTTTGGCTTTTTAAGACAGGTTCTCTATGTATCTTTGTCCTGGAACTCCCTCTGTAGACCAGTCTATCCTTGAACTCACAGAGATCCATCTGTTGCTGCCTCCCCAGTGCTAGGATTAAAGGTGTGTGCTACCACACCTTGAACTCACAGAGATATGTCTGCCTCTGCCTCCCAGGCATTGGGGTTAAAGGTGTATACCACCACACCCAACTTCTTTCTTTCTTTCTTTCTTCCTTTCTTTCTTTCTTTCTTTCTTTCTTGACTTTAACCTTTAGCCTGCATGTATTTTTAACACATAGTAAACCATATAAACATTTTCTTCATCTTTGAATCTATCTTTACTGTATCTCTCTCTCTCTCTCTCTCTCTCTCTCTCTCTCTCTCTCTCTCTCTTTCTCTCTCTCTCTTTCTGACTACATGAGTCTTTAATTTGCTAAGTAGTATGGAGAGGATTAAAACCGCGGCTTTGATGGCTAGATCCAGCCCATTTCTTAGCTTTCTGAGACCAGCCGGAGCCATGTTTATTGCCACAACTCTATGGTGTTTCAAGGTCACTGCCAGCAAGCAAGCTGCATCATTCTGCTCACAGACCACATTCAAATGTTCTGTAGTCAGACTGCCTGCCTGAAAGAGTCAGACTTTGCCCTGGCAGGACAGCCCAGAAAGCCAGCATTTTAAAATGGAGCTTTTTTCCTGCTATGGCTGAAAACTGAAAAGCATGCAGTCAGCTTTTCATCAACACCATTTGAGTGTTTTGTGGCAGGATCTCTGAAAGAGCTGCAGGGTTTTGCAGCTAAAGCTGAGTCAGAAAGCCTCTCTTAGATGAGAGTACTTGCTTGCCTCTAGCAAGCAGAGCAGACCAGAGAAATTGCTGCTACTAAGAAAACATGCTTTACTCTATTCTTACTCTATCCTTTCCTAAGCTTTCTCAGGCTTTCTGTGGATGCAGTTATCCACGTTGGGCACCATTCTGTAACATGAGGTCCTGCTTGTTGGGGTTTATGTCCTTCTCAGTTCCCCACAGCTGGCAAGCCCCCCCCCCCCCAAAAAAAAAAACACACAGAGATCTCCATAAGTTATAAACTGATTGGCCCCTTAGCTCAGGCTACTTATTAGCTCTTGTAGCTTATATTAACCCATTATTCTGATCTATGTTAGCCACATGGCTCAGTACCTTTCTCAGCAGGGCAGCTTACATCTTGCTTCTTCAGTGATCTGGGCTGAACTGCAGAGGGAGCTTCCTACTTCCCAGAATGCTCCTGTTCTCATCACCCCACCTCTACTTCCTGTCTGGTTAACCCACCTATACTTCCTGCCTGGCCAATCAGTGTTTATTTAAAACATGGTTGACAGAATACAGACAATTCTCCACACCATAGCTGGTTCGGTCCCATTCCTGTGGACTAGCCCCCTTTCTTTTACTAAGACAAAGAATTGAGGCAATTCATCTTCATTTCTCCATCCTTTTTCAGACTTTATTTCCCTCCCAATGGCCAACTGTTGGTCTATACCCCTCAATGAAAGGACCCACTTTCCTCCCTTTACATAGTATTTCCCCACCATAGAAATGCAAACATATCTCATTTTCATATCTTGAATGTTTTATTTCAGTTGCCAGCTGGAACAGTTCCTGTTGTCTTAGATGTGATCTTTTTTTTTAAGGATAAAATAAGTTTTTATTTATATTCTTATAGTAAAGGGGGAAGCCTTAACTTGCAAGACAATTCTTGGGCAGTATGTACAACATACTTTTTATTTCCATGGAATGGAATCAAATACTGACTGAGACTACAGAGTATACACTAGAAATCAGCAAATGCTGGCAACAGAGTAGGAAAAGAAATGAAGCCTGAAGATATGAAACCCTTCACTGGGCTCTGTTGACCACAGCCAGAGCCAGGGCTGGATCCACAGTGACAACAAGTTCCAGGACTGGAGGCAAGGAGGGAGGGAGGCTGTAGTGGGCTGTGGGTTTAGTACCAGGTAAGTCGCTCTTGGTATTTACATACAAAATAGTTGGCTCTATTTCTTAGAAATACACGCAGAAAGAAATGAAGATTTGATCATTACTTTATGAATCTGTCGCTTTACAGTATCGACATCATCAGAAATAGGGGCATTTCATTCAGATTCAAATTTCAGTAGCAGGAAATAAATATCAAAACATCATCACTGGCCCTTAATACAAAACCTCTACCCCTCCTACGACTCCCTCCCTCCCTGTCCCGCCCACACATAACCACCCCTACCACTCCTGGTGGCTGTTTCACTGCTGCCATCTCCTATACATACCAGTGTCACGTGACCTTCTGTAAGGCTGGCTCTGCAGGCTTAAACAACTGAAGCGTGAAACATGCCAAGGATTCTGCAAATCTGTCCCTGCTTTCCTTTTCACCACAAACTTCTTCAAGAATCTGGTCTTTCAACAGGAGCGATAGATGGCGTTCCCAAAAACCAATCCTTACAGAGGAGGGGCAATTCTGATTACTCCAATCTGGTCATCTTGCCAAAGTAGAGCAGTTCAGAGTCACAAATTCCACCAAACAGAGGTGAGAGGACTGGGAGGGGCCTAGCGGGCAGATGCCCTCCAAGCACACTCTGAAGGCAGGAGGAGTTGGGGGGTGGGGTGGGCAGGACACCATGTACTCAGAGGTCTGGCTGGCTGGCTGTCCTCCACAGAAAGAGCTGCCAAGTTAGGGTGTTTTGGTTTAAAATTTCTGGTGGGGACAGGAACCCCTGAAGGGAACACATTTGAAAATAGTGGACACAGGGAAGGGATGAGAGCTGTTGTCCAAGAGCTTCTATGCAAAAATAACAATTAATAAAGAGAGAGGAAACTAAAGAGTCTGTCAATGGTTTGCGAGTTCTAATGATGAACTAAGGAGGATGAGGCAGTGGAGTCGACAGTTTCTATTGCTGGCCTGCCCTGCATGGCTTAGCTGGCCTCCATCCAGAGTTTCTTCCTGCTCTGGGGCTCTTCAGGCTCGGACTCTGAGCTGGAGTCTGAACCCCCATCAAAGGCAGAGATGGTGCCGCCCTTGGCGTTGGTGTAGAGGCTGTTGTCTGAGGAGGGGTAATTGGTCTGCAGTTGGGCACTTGACCTTGCCTTCTCCAGTGCACGGACTTGCTGCTCCAGAAGAGCATTCTGCCGCTTGAGGTCATCAATGTCTTGCTGGTGCGTGTGGTTTTTCCTTCGCATATACTGGATATACTCTGTTGCCTTGTCTAAGATTTGGGCCTGGGATGCCTTCTCTTGGAGTGATGGGACTGAGTCCCGCAAACTGTGAAAGCTGTCTTTGATGTGGTCCCTACGTTTTCGTTCCAGTGCATTATGGTGAGCCCGTTTGTCAGCGTCGCTCTCCACCTCGATGTCATCGTTATTGCTACAGCCCAGGGAGCGGCCACTGCAGCAGCGGCCAGGGAAGGGAGGGGTGGAGGGAAGGGGGAAGTCACCAACAACAACAAGCCAAGTGCCCCCACGCACACACTCACTCACTCACTCGCTCCCTCACTCACTCACACACATTCACACACACACAACACGGGTGACAATCACCTCACTCCTTAGATGTGATCTTAAGTATCTTCTCTTTCTTCCACATTTACATCTAAACCCACTGTCCCTTGTTCTGATTTTCTAACCCAGGTTTCACATTTTTGGGATCCACAAGATGTTAAGTTGAATGGGTTGATATTCCAGTGGCTTCTGCTCTGGATATGGTTGGTTTTATTCTTTGCAATATTTATCTTATGGTAACATACAAATATTGTTGGTCTTATTGCTCTCTTATAGTTTCTTGCACATGCAGGGGCCATTTGAGGAGATCTTCTTGTCCTTCTAAAGAGGCTTTGAACTTTTGGAAGGTTTTCCTGTAAGTATAAGAGCAACAGGCTAAGTAGGAGGAACACTAGTTTGGGAAAGAGAAAAGAATTCTATAGGAAAGGGGTACTTCTGAATAGGTTAGGTTTCATGCTAGCAAAGGGTAACCTAGGATCATGGGTAAGGACAGCTGACCTTGCTGTTGTTCCTGATATTTAGGTGACTGGAATAGTACATTTCTCTTTTCCTGATGGTACTTGGACCCAGATGTTCAGTTGTGGCTGACTGTTCTTTACTGCTGTTCTCTGGGGCACAGGCTTCTTTCCATAGTTTTAACCCTGCCAGGGGGCTCCTCCAGTCACCTGCCCTCTGCAAATTGCCCCCCATGATTTATTTAGGACACCACAATTTAACTTTGTGTGATTGAACAGAAGACTCCCCACCACCACCACCTGCAGCTAGTGGTAGCTAGATGTAGCTAGCTTGCTTCTACATCACAAAACTCCTCTATTCCTGACATCTCTGCAGAAGTTGAGGTGAGAGTGTTGAAGAGGCAAGGAATAAGGAGGGGTTGGACAAGGGCATTGTTTTCTCAAAACTCCCTGTATATCTACTCCAAAATGATTTTCTTCTCCTTCATTTCCCTGTGATTAATTCTCTCTGGGCAGATGGCAGCAAGAAAGTGATTCTTTTAAGACACTCTCACAACCCTTCTCCTTTCGTTGGTCCAGTCTCCATCTTTTTTTCTCAGGTCAAGACACTCTCATAGGACCACTCCCCTTCTGTTTTTCCCTTACTGGGAAAAGATACTTATTTTTCCTGTTTCCTGAAAATAGATTCTTTTCTCAGGCAATATATCCTGATTATAGTTTCCTCTTCTCCTATTCCTCCCAGTTCTTCTCCACCTCTCCCTTTCTGTTTCATTAGAAAAGGACAGCTTTCTAAGAGATAGCAACCAAACATGAAAAAATAAAATATAATGATATAAAGCAAAAGGCATCACATCAAATTTGGAGAAGGCAACTGAAGGGCAGGAAAGAAGTAGCAAGAGCAGACACAAGAGGCAGAGACCAACTCGTTCTCATACTCAGGAGTCCCATAAAATATTAAACTAAAAGCTATATGCTCTCATTTTATATATACATTCATATATAATATATGCTATTATATATGACCTGATGCAGACCCATGTAGGCAGTGTGCTTGCTGCTTCAGCCTCTGTGAGTTCATATGTGCCTTGTTTATTTGTTTCAAAGGGCCGTGTTCTCCTGGTTTCTTCCATCACCTCTGGTTCTTACATTCTTTCTGTATCCTATTCCATAAGTTTTTCTGAGCTATGAAGGGAAAGATTTGATAGAGACCTCCTATTTAGACTCTCTTCTCCACGTAATGTCTGACTGTGAATTTCTACATCTGTTGTCCTAGGAAGCTTCTCTAATTGTGACTGAATAAGGCACTGGCTATGACTATTATAGAATATCATTAGGAGTCATTTTATTAATACTATTTTTCTAGACCAGTAGATTACCCTGATTTACTCTATTGGGTATACCAAAAACCCTCCTAAAATAATGTGGCTTAACCTGTCGCACTACTAGTCATGAATAATTCATAGAAAATATTAATCTATCATTTCTCTGCAAAGAGAATCATATTTTATGCTTATTTATAAGCATATTTCATAAACTAAGAAAGTTTTTATTTCTTTGTGTTTTACATTTTTACAAGATTAAAAAACCTAGGACAATATTTTATGAGGTAAAAGTTATGGGAAACTGAAATTTCAACATCAAATTCAATTCATTTAGAGGTTAGATTTTAATTTTTTTTTAATTTTATTAAATTATAAAAGTTTCCATTTCCGCCCCTCCTCCCAACACCCTCCCACTCCCCCCACTCCCTCTCCTCCTCCCTCTCCATCCCTAAGAGCAGTCAGGGTTTCCTGCCCTGTGGGAAGTTCAAGTTCCTCCCCCCTCCCTCCAGGTCCAGGGAAGGTGAGCATCCAAACAGACTGGATCGCCAAAATCCAGTATATGCAGAGGAAGCAAGTCCCAGTGTCATTGTCAATGGCTTTTCAGAAAGGCTCCGGGCCAGCCACATTCAGAGAATCCAGCCACATTCAGAGAATCTGGTTGGATCACGTCCTCGTTCAATCCCAGTCCAACTGGCCTTGGTGAACTCTTATTATATCAGTCCCCTTGTATCAGTGGCTGCTCGCATCCCTCGCAGTCCTGATTTCTTTATTCATTTTCTTCATCCTTCTGCTCCTCATTTGGACCGTGGAGGGCTCAGTCCGGTGCTCCAATATGGGTCTCCGCCTGTATCGCCATACAACGTCGGATGAACGTCCTCTGCTCTTTCCTTCTTTGCTCATGTTCTCTTTCCTTCTGCCTCTCGTTTGGACCTAGGGAGCTAGGTCCAGTGTTCCAACGTGGGTCTCCGCCTCCATCTCCATCCATCGCCAGATGAGGGTTCTGGCACTCTTGTCTATTTCCAATCTCCAGGAGGATAGCTACATGATTTTCATCAGGTTCACCTTCTTATTTAGCTTCTCTAGGATCACGAATAATAGGCTCAAAGACCTTTAATTATGGTTAGAATCCACTTATGAGTGAATACATACCATATTCCTCTTTTTGGGTCTGGCTTACCTCACTCAGTAAAGCGTTTTCTATTTCCATCCATTTGCATGCAAAATTCAAGATGTCATTGTTTTTTACCTAGATTTTAATTTTTTAAAGATTTGTTTTTAACTATGTAAGGGTTTTGGGGAGTATGTACTCATGAGTGTAGGTACCCGAATAGCCCAGAGGCATTAGATCCCTCTGTAGCTAGAGTTACATATAATTGTAAGCTATCTAACTGAGAAACTAAAATCAGACCCCTGCAAGAGGACAAGATGACTCTTAACCAACGAGTCAGCTATATAGCCATTTTTTTTAATTAATCTTGTTGCCCTATTGTCTGTGAGATCCTTGGCCCAGGAACAGTTCCTGCTCCTGCACTGAGGCTTTCCACCCAGAGGGGAATCCCTGTTCTTGTGCTGAGGAGTTCCATCTAGACTGGTGAGTGTGTGCCATCCTGGGCACAGGGCCCTTTCAACTCCTGCTGCAGTGGCTTCTTTGTTCCACATGACCCTGCCTCCCCCAAGCCTGCCCTATTGTCTGCAAGGTTCTTGGCCCAAGAAGAGTCCCTGCTCCTGCACTGAGGATATCCACCCAGAGAGTCAGTCACAGCATAGATTGGACCAAGATGCCAAGAATCTCCTGGCTGCATTTGAAGGCAGAGATGGGCAGGTGCCAATGCAAGAATTCCTCCAACAACCTGAAAGGCAAAATGACAACACCATAATCCAGGGATCATGCAACAAGAAGACTTGAACACCCTATTCCAGAAGAAGTAGAAGAAATCGACTTTAAACGTAGCATTATGAAAATAATAAAGGACCTTAAACAGGATGTGAAAATTTTCCGGGCAGGGGTTGGGGTGAGGTGGGGATAAGGGGAGATGGGGGAGAAGAAGGGAGAAGGGGAGGATGGGGAGAGCTTGAGGGAATGGGATGGTTGGGATGAAGGAGGGGTGGATGTGGGAGCAGGGAAGTATATATCTTAATTAAGGGAGCCATTTTTGGGTTGGCAAGAGACTTCACCCTAGAGGGGTTCCCAAGTGACCAAGGAGATGTCCCCAGCTTATTCCTTGAGCAGCAGAGGAAAGGGTGCCAGAACTGGCCTTGTCCTATAGCCACACTGATGAATATCTTGCATATTACCATAGAACCTTCATCTGGTGATGGATGGAAATAGAGACAGAGACCCACATTGGAGCACTGGACTGAGCTCCCAAGGTCCTAATGAGGAGCAGAAGGAGGGAGAACATGAGCAAGGAAGTCAGGACCATGAGGGGTGCATTCACTCACTGACACGGTGGGACAGATCTAATGGGAGATCACCAAGGCCAGTTGGACTGGGAGTGATGGAGCATGTGATCAAACTGGACTCTCTGAATGTGGCTGAAGGTGGAGGCTGACTGAGAAGCCAAGGACAATGGCACTGGGCTTTGATTCTACTGCATGGATGGGCTTTGTGGGAGCCTTGTCTGTTTGGATGCTCACCTTCCTGGACCTGGATGGAGTGGGGAGGACCTTGGACTTCCCATAGGGTAGGGAACCCTGATTGCTCTTTGGCCTGGAGAAAGAGGGGAAGGGGAAATGTGGGGAGGGGAGGAGAAGGAAGTGGGAGGAGGGGAGGAGGTGGTAATTTTTAATAAAAAAAAGAAATGGAGAAGACAAACAAAAAGGTAGAAGAAATGAATAAATCTCTCAAAGATATCCAAGAAAACCAAGAAAAAGCAATTAAACAGGTAATGGAAACAGTTCAAGACTTAAAAATGAAATGAAGGAAATGAAGAAAACACAAACTGAGGGAAGGCTGGATACGGAAAATCTGGGTAAATGAGCAGAAACTACAGAGACAAGTATAACCAACGGAATACAAGAGATAGAAGAAAAAATCTCAGACACTGACGATACTATAGAGGAAATAAACTCATTGATTAAAGAAAATAACAAATCCAACAAATTCTTAGCTCAAAACATCCAGGAAATCTGGGACCCCATGAAAAGATCAAAAATAAGAATAATAGGGGTAGAAGAAGGAGAAGAATTACAGTTCAAAGGCCCAGGAAATATATTCAACAAAATTGTAGAAGAAAACTTTCCCAACCTAAAGAAGAATATTCCTATGAAGGTACAAGAAGCATACAAAACACCAAATAGACTGGATCAAAAAAAATCCCCTCTCCATATAATAATCAAAACACAAAACATACAGAATAAAGAACGAATATTAAGAGCTGAAAGGGAAAAAGGTCAAGTAACATATAAAGGGAAACCTATCAGAATTACACCTGAGATCTCAATGGAAACCATTGAGGTCCTGGATAGATGTGCTGCAGACACTAAGAAACGATGGATGCAAGCCCAGACTACTACACCCAGCAAAGCTTGCATTCACCATTGATGAAAACAAGACATTCCAGGACAAAAACAGATTTGAAAATACGTAGCCACAAACCCAGCCTTACAGAAAATACTAGAAGGAAAACCACAAACTAAGGAAGCCAATAACACCCATAATAACACAAGCATCAGACAACCATCCACCAGCACAACTCAAAGAAGGGAAACACACAAACACTACCACCAAAAAAACCCCTAAAAACTAGAGTTAACAACCACTGATCATTAATATCACTTAATATCAATGGACTCACCTATAAAAAGGCACAGGTTAAGAGAATGGATCCAAAAAGAGGATCCAACATTCTGCTGTTTACAAAAACACACATCAACCTCAAAGACAGACACTACCTCAGAGTAAAGGGTTGGG